AGAGAGAGAACAATCACGTGATCAGTAGCATGTGAAGTGTAATACAATAGCAAAGCAAAGTATTGCCGGGTCCACACTAGTTCTGTAATAAAAACTCGAAAGAAAATTGTCAAACGAGAAGAAATAAATATAAAAAAAGATCGGTATAAGTGACCGTTTAATGCAGGTCAACCTACGAAATGTGCCTGAACACTGTTCGTGGTGTCGAGTTGACGCTTTAAATGTAGGAAAATCAATCCGCCCCATGATAAATGACTCTCGATAGATGATACCGCTTAATCGAGTTGGCCGTTCTTGAGGTTTCACTTTACATAGTACAGAAATGCTGGGGATGCCAGCGACAAATATACTTGTTAAGCAAATCACAACAGATACGGGCATTAATTTAAAAATACAATGTCAACAATTCGAAACACCTTATTTAATTATAGAATTCAAAGATAAGAAGATCAAGAACAATGGACAGATCTCTAGCCAGAAAAGATGAATTTGACAAAACGAAATAATTCATTTTCTGTTTTACTCTACAAACTGAAAGAATTTTATTCATTGTAATGTATAGAGCATAAGAAATTAATTAAGTTTAATAGAGGTTAAGTTAAATTGTATACTAACTAATAAGGCTAAACGTATTCCCTGTTGAGATGGTTATAAAGATCATGAAACTCTTAACTTTTCTGAATTCAGTCGTAGACGTCTTTTTCCAAATAAAATTAGCTTTTAAAAAGTGGATTTCAGAAACACATCAGGTGTTATTGTTATTATTTTTATTGTTGTTTTCGATGTACATACTTATATATCTACGTTTTCGAGCTAATCTTCAGTGGAAGCAATCTAGAAATATTAATAAAACACGCCATATTGTAACGATTTTCAATGAGGCATACAATTTGGTTTCGTAACTCGTCACGCAAACAACACCAGCAATAGTTTTTTTGTCGTTGGTCATGTCATAACGTTTCTATTGATTCGAGTTAACCTAAACAAAGAAGGAAATATCATGATCTGAAAAATTAATTCATTGTAAACTACAGAGGGAAGGAGTGCATTTGATCAAGTTCACACAACTTTAAAATCATTCGTTACTAGAGGCGAGTGTACCATCAAAACAATTCTTTGTGTTTAACAAAATCAGTTGAAGAGAAAATTTAGACATGGTTCATCTTCGGATCAATATCTTCACTGTTCTTGTAATGATCGGTTTTTCTATCTACCCCGTATCTGTACCTGGTACTTCATCGAAATCAGTTAAAGGCCGGTTTTGGTTGCTGCCCATCTCTTCAGAAAAAAGATACGAAAACTCTGGCACGAAGCAAAATGTGTCTAATTTTTTGGAAGAAACTGTTCGATTTGCCTTTACCGCTAACATAGACAGCACATGCGACACAAAAGGAATTTACTTATTTGTGGATGAATTAATAATGCAGGTAATGATGTATTATTAAGCCTACTTAGGTTCCAATTGTTTCTCATTTTCATTATCAAAAATATTGATGTTGCTTGTTTTATCAACTAATAACGTAATCATTTTTTGGTTCAAAGAATATTCGTATATTGTTCCATTTAACTTATAACCAGAACTCGGATTCTCATGACCTGAAAATTATTTGAAAATGGCCTATAAAATGACATAAATAAGAGGACAATGACTTAAAATGAGGGGAAAATGAACGATTTTTTAATTCCTCAAAATGTGTATGAAAATATTTATTCAGTGAATTTTACGATTTGAAATACAATGTATTTATATAAAATTGTATTTAATATAGTCTTTATTTTAGTAGAAAGTGTAATTCTGAGCTCCAATCTTCAAACTGCCAGTTTTGAGAGTTCGAGGAAGTTTCCGAAGATCCCTGTAATTTTGCGAGTTCGAAAAACAGAATACATTGCAATAGTGAATTTCGTCATGAACTGATGATACAATAAACATTTTGTTTTAGTGTGTAATTGCAAATTAATGAAACATTCACTAGCAAAAAACACAAAAAAGGAAATAAATGTGTAAAAATAAAAAAAACAACAAAATGACGTAACTGTCCAAAACAAACTAAATATTGAAAAATAGCGAAACGTACCAAAAAATGACCCACAAACTATACATTTCTAACACCTATATGTTGTGATAAACATTGCTGTACAAGTTAGCTACGTCCAGAATGCACCAATGAAAAGATGACATGTCATCAGAATTCGAGCCCTGCTTAAGCATTCGAAGGAATGTGATGTGTAGTAAAATTGCGTTATTGAGCAAATTGAACAATAGGTTCACAAGTATATAATGAGGCGTATCTGTTCATGTACGTGCTTTCATCATACTATATTCTTGTTAATCGAAACGTATTTATTCAGATATTTGTTCATTCAAAACGTTTTTGGGTAAGGGGAATAGAAAAGGTAAGTGAAAGAAAAATAGTGAAGTGTTGAAGGAGAAGATACATTTTTGCTGCTTAATTCTGCCCTCCCCTCTCCACTCCCTGGAAGTTGGCCCTTTTAGAAAAGTACAGGCCTTTCACCGCCTGTAATCTCATCCCACATCCCATAGTTGTTCAAATATGTAAACACTTTCTCCACCATGTCACCACTGTGAGATTTATTCGTAGCAAGTAGGACAATTCAGTACATTTTTACTTTCTCGTATACGTACGTATATATGGAGTAACGTATGGTGCTACAACGGCACATATTTTGCGCATTAATTCCAACTTTTGTAATTTTAAAAAATATAGTCAACAAAAATGATATTGGTGCCGTGTTTAAGTGTTCTTTTCTCTGAGCGAATAAAAAGTTAAAAGAAAAACATTAGAGCAGGTTTTTGGGAACAAAAATTTAAATTGCTTTTTCTTCAAACAAAAATTACGTGAAAACTGTTCGTTCTTTTCAAATAATTGTACGTGTCATAAAATATAAAAAATATATAAATTCTCTTTGTTTTAAGAATAAATTACGCTAAAACTGAAAAAATTAGACCATAATATTACATGAAGGACTATTTTTCTTGAGAACAGATTACGATAGAAAATGAGGTTTACCAAATTATCCAGTTTCCTATACACAGGTATGTCCAATTTAGTAGGAGGTCTCTATCTGCCATCCTCGGCCAGGGATCTACGGAATACTTTCTGAAGAGAGTTGTAGCTTATTAAAAAACGTTCATTTAGTTTACTGTTCATGTTAAAATACTAATGTATAGGGTGAATTTTAATGAAATGTCATTTTTTTGTTTCCTCTTGAGAACAATGCCATTTAGTAAAGAAATTAATATTACGACAAAAGGAAATGACCCATTTTATGTCTGTTCTTTTGCATTTTTCGTTGATTTCGACTAATAAGTCATTTTTTATCTTTTTCATTAACGTTTAAAGCATTTTTCGCTGATGTAATCGATTTTTTAAATTATTTGAAGGTACTCGCTTGAAATAATATTTACAAGAAGCCCCAAATGTTCAGAGAATTCCTGAGTAGCCTGTTTGAAATTGTCATGTCTGCCGTTTTATGTAATCTATGACGCCTATCAACGCCAATGTCGGTTCGGCAAATTTCGGGATTAATAAGACGGATTTCCTGGTAAAGAATAGTCCAAACCAAAAGTTTGCAAGCAAAGTGCACTTGAAAGAAAAGAGGCCTTGATTCCATTACTATCGCATGCAGCTTGAGTTGTTCATCCGAACTGGTTTTGATCACATTTTTACAATTTGTTTTTTGTATTTAGGGCATTTTAAAAACATTTTAAGAGCATTTTATTGATCATTTTTGGCAATGTTTTAGGTCATTAAATCTGCTGCTTACGTTATGGAGGTGCAGTTAATGTCTTGTATTTTAATAGAGAGAACAATGTTTTCTTTCATTGTTAGAAAAAACATAAGTGCGTACAAGATTTTTTATATTTTTGCCAAAAAATATTAAAAATTGCGTTATCTTCATGCGACTTAGCCCAAATCTCATCTGTTTGTAAACTTTCCTGTCACGTTCGTCAGAATATTTTCTTACATTGTTGTGCGTTACTAGTTGATTACTCGGCTAGTGTTAGCAAATGCGAAAAAATATATTTTAGACATTGATAGGTAGCAGTTGGGAAGAGGCTGGGGCCAAAAGAGGAAAGTTCGCCCAGACGAAGAAGAAAGGTAACAAACTAGTACGAGGAAGTCTGTGACGTTCTGTAGCACCACTATTTTTAAATAGTGTTTAATATTGATGTATTTTTTCTATTTTTTATTATACGGAATTACTGATAAAAGTTGTTCAAACAATTGAAAAGGGGTTTGTAACACTAATAAACATTATACCAAATTTTATTGAAGTCACAGACTCCATCTTTTGCATTTACAAAAAAAAACAAAAAAAAAACAAACAAACGAAAACCATGTCTAGAAAAACGTCGACGTTTTCCTACTAAATAATCTTTAAACTCGATGTCACAGATAATGTTACATGAAAGTTACATGAAAAATCATATTAAGTACTACAATAGCATCAAACACTGCTCGGTCAAACTTTACCAACATATCCTGGATTAGAACTCTCATATGGTAATCCAGCAATCAGAAATAAAGTTTACGGAGGACTTTTACGAACATGACAAAGATTTGGAATAATTTTCAATTTACTATTTTGGTTTTATGATTGATGCAAATATAATATCGAAGTAGCTCTCGACCTGTATATATATTTTATTTAATTCAGCCATTCTCACTCAGTACCCGCCCGCTCGGCCATCCTGCATATTCATCCCATTTCATAGAAATTTGAAGAGGAATTAAATTAATTTTTGCGTAATTAACAATAAAATCGATGGTGTATTTGCTTTTGTCGTTAACGACTGTAGTGGTGCCAGCTTAACCCTCTATTGCCCCTTGTTACATATACGTAACCACGTTTCAGGCAATCTCATATTTACACCTTTTGCACTAATTTGCAAATTTTATTTCTTCAATAGGTGGAAACATTCTAAATAATACTTACATGTAAGTTCTTTTTCATTTCTGATTGCTAGATGTCGATTGAGCCGATATCTCTAAGACACACCCCTAGCCAGGGTGTATTAATGACTTACGTCGATTCAAATTTTCATCTAAAACCGTGACATTACTTTTGGGCTATTTCTGTGCGTTTAAATCTACACCATCGAATTTATTTGCTCATACCATTTTTTTTGAAAAATCGTAATAACCACCACATTACCAGTGTGTACGGACACATATTGTAAACGCGAAAATTATTCAAAAAACTTTATTCAGAATAAATTATTTTCTTTGCTCAACAATAAAATAATTTCGCAGATCAGAATTTAATTTATGTGTGTGCGATTGTCGCATCAAGCCAGTGCCCACCTATTTTTCCCACGAAAACACGTTGCAATTAATTCTAAATTGGGGCAATTAATTAGCAATAAATAATTTCATTCCGTGTGCTGTTCATTTCATGTTTCATTCCGGTGGGCTGACATGGCTGTTCCAGCTTGACACTTTACGCAACGTCTCGATAAATTAGTATAATTGCACTCGTAAATAAGAAAACACGCACCTAAGGGTGCTCGTTCTCTTGGACATAACACTGTGCAATTATACCTCTCTTTATCCAATCATTTCGTTAATAACTGTGTAATATGTGGATACAACCGAGCGAAATGGTTCAGTGCGTAGAGCTCTGTCTTCGCAATTGGGAGGACCGGGTTCCATCCCCGGGCCGTCCATCCTAAGCGGCGTTTTCGTGGTTTCCCTCAGTCATAAGGCGAATGCTGGGATGCTTCAAAAAAGCCACGATCACCTCCCACCTCACCTGCCTCTCATCATTGTTTTCGTCCTTTCGTTCCTCATCAGCACACTATCTCTTCATTAAGCATTCCCTGTAAAAGGCAAGAGGCCTTTTAAGGTCTTTAATAGGATTTTAGTTGGCTGATAAAAATGAAGTCGATCAGATGGCTGAGGTCGCTCAGGCAGTAACGGTCTCGGGCCAGAAGATCGCGGGTTGGAGTCCCGCCTCGGAAATGGGTGTATTTGTATTTGTATGTGTGTCGTCCTCTCATCATCATCATCATTTCATCTTCCTTACCCCTTATGGCTAACAACCCTTGGGGTTAAAAATTGAGTACATGTAAATGCTGAACCCAAAAATGAAAATTACATGCATATACCACCGAGATAATGTTTGCTCCCGGTGAATGCAGGATGCATGCACGCGTGGTATAAGTTGACCTATTTGCTAATAATGATAATAATAATAATAATAATAATAATACTATTGTGGACGTGGATACAAAAAACAGGCTTTGCAATGTGAATACAGATTGTGGCAAGCCGCTTCAAGAAGCGCGTCTGCCTGAAAATGCGCCCTCACGAGCACGTACCCAGCCTGCTGAACGGCAGCGCCGACGTGAGCATTTACGCCGAGTGGCAGATGCTGCCCCCTCCGAAGCCGGTGGACTACCTCTACCCGCACGCACGCGACGACATGTGTCTGATGGTGAAGCGGCGGCGGCGCGAACAGCAGAGCATCCTGCAGGCTTTCTCCGCCGCCACCTGGAGCGCCACTGGCGCCACCCTCGCCGCCTTCGCAGTCGCCCTCCGCCTCTCCGGCCGCAGGTACGCTGCCCCCTCGCTGCTACTTTCATTGGTTGATTGTTAGTGCGACAACTACCAGGGGCATGAGTTCCCTAAGTGTAGTGCAGGCTTTTTGCGCGGAAGGTGGCAATGGTTTTCCCCGCTAGATTGTCAGATCCGGTTGCAGACCTACCGTTGGCTAGTAGTTTTCCCTACCAGGTATCTTCCACCAGTAATACCCGGCTCAAGCAGTAAGCTCCCGACCGGTCTCCCGGCGTGTGAGATAGTGTAGTGTAGTGTATGTTAGTGTGCGTGTAAGAGATGGGAATAGGACGAGGAAGAGGGAGGAAAGATCACGCAAGGTCCGTGGCCCGTTTGTTAGAGTACTGCTCCGGCATTCGCCTGGTGTTGATTGGAGAAACCACGGAAAACTAGTGATTAGAGCAGCCGGTCGCTAGAATTCTCCCCCCGACAGTGGCTACCTAACTTGAAAATCCTGCCACCGTTGGGACTAGAACCTAGGACTTCCCGGTCAGAGAGACTGCAGTAACATCATTGATACACTGAGCAATTTGAGATCTCTCCCGGTTGCTGCACCTTAGGAATGAACTCGCAAGGAATCTTCCAATTTCTGCATTCGTCTTGTTTGGTCGAATAGTACATTATAAAACAATAATGGAATCTTGGGTAGTAATACACGAGTGTGATGTTACGGTACGAGCGAGAATCAAGCGATTCATACGTGTCATTCATCGAGTGTCATACGGAACTTTTTCGTTGACTGTATGGTAAACTTTCATAAAGTTAACTTTTACATAGAATCGTTAGGGTGGCGGTTGACAAGTAGGATTCAGCCAAAGTCACCTAGCGGAATAGCAAATTATTTTCTTTGTATTCCAATATTATAAAAGAACCTTTCTGTTGCAAGAAATTCGTTAATAACTTTATTTTCGCATAAATGATGACGTATTAGATTTTATGTCACGAATGATTGCGTCATCACACATTCAGCCAATCGTAACGAGAGAATTGGAAGGAGGTAGAGATAAAAGGAACAGGCAACCATGTCAGATACCCGAATCGTCAAAGGGAAGTTGTTTCGCAAAATTAAATTTGATTCTCTTATAAATTTATAATGCTGTTATACAGAAAAATATCGTAAGCAACTCGTTTATAATGTTGCTTTATTACATTCGTCCAAATTTGAAAACTCGCTCCTACAGTCGCTCGTTTTCAAAACATGTACTCATGCAATAGGGCTTAACATTATAAACTAATTGCGTAAACCACTCTTACGCTACGACCAAAGAATTATGCGCGAGCGACCCGAATGCGTTGAGCCAAGCGCTTCCTCCAGGGACGCGCTGCTCGAGGTGGTCGACGCATTCATCAACGGGGGCTTCGCCACGCGCCCGAGCGACCGCCGCGGCAACGCGCTCTTGCTGCTGCTGAGCGCCTTCGGCCTGGTGGTGGTGAGCGCCTTCACCGGCACCTTCACGAGCTTCCTCGCGGCGCTCGGGGAGGCGCGGCAGATGGACACCATCGAGGAGGTGGCCCGGCGCGCCACCAGCGTCCTCGGGGACGGCGACCTCACGCTGCACTTCAGACATGTCGAGAAAGACAACGTCATTTGGAAACTCCTAGCGAAGTAAGTACCAATGCTTTTATAGGAGGAGCGTTCAAAAAAAAAAAAAAAAAAAAAAAAAAAAAAAAAAAAAAAAAAAAAAAAAAAAAAAAAAAAGACCCACAAACATATCCCCTGACTGCAAGGAACAATTTGTTTTTAACTTAAAAAAAATTTTTTTTTTGAAAAATCAAAATTCGGTAGTTTTTAATGCACTTATGTAGTTTTCCCCTGATAACTCAAATAATTTTGTAGATTTTTACTAATTTGACCAATGACGTGGGCTCTGCCTCGCTCATCCGCCCGCATACCTATCTGCTGCCGATGCGCCCCTCCCACTCTTTGCGCACACAAATGGTCTCAACCATTTGGTCAACCATTGAGTTGCGACAAATGGTCGCAACTCAATTATTGCGCCGGATTAGGCTGCGAGACGTCCCAGCAAAATTCCTGACAGCGATGTTATTCGACGTTTTGCATAGCAAGGCATGAATTTGAAAATAATTTAATTTTCCCGCTTAAGAACGGTCTTTTTTATAATAAAAATCAAATTAGTACTAGCTCATAACACTGTGCTGTTACAATATATTGATTATTATTAGATTTTTGTCAGTTTTATAATTTTTTATAACAAAAAGTATTGAATTGATGTATATGATTTCGCATGGATTTGTAGATAATACTTGGTTACATGCATCCTAAAAAATTCATAGCTTTAACATGATTGATCTTTGAGTTATAGGGAAACGGATCATTAAAAACTGAAATTCTGGAGAAGAATCAACGAAGATTGATTCATGAGTTTTGCTTACCTTATTACTCTAATAGATGCATGATTCTGCAACATACCTTTTAAATTATAACTTGATTCAACTTTCTATCATAACTAATGCAGCTATCTAATATTTGCACCAAAATGTTCCTAATTAATAATGCATTGATAAAATGTTTTCAAAAATAGAATTTTTAAAGATTTTAAGGCGTCCTTTTTGTCTTTCGCTTTAGTTTTAAGATTATGAAGATAAATGCCGGTGGGAGTTTGAATTTGAGCCCGTGGAAATTTGAGCTAGATCGATTGAGTTGTAATTATTTTTTTGGCGAATTGAGGGCAGGGAAAAATTTGTTAATTTAATTATGTGTAGAGTTATACATTTATTTTATTTCCAAGAGAGAGAGAGAGAGGGGGGAGAGGGGAAAGGGGGAGAGGAAGAGAGGGAGAGAGAATGTAACCTCTCTTCTCTCCATTCAAGACGATTTGAGTCGCCTGCAGCGGCGGATGCTTCGATAATTGAAAGTAAATGCTTCGCACTAAAAGCAAACTCTCGATATTATTCATTCGAAAACTAAGCAATTATTCCTCGACCCAGAAGTTACTCACCAATGGAGAAATTGTCCAAATTCCTGCATTTACTCAGGATCTTCATTCATACTGTTTAGAGCAATTGCATTGAAACTTAGAGCAAGAAGTAGCTCATTTTAATTCATATCATCATGTATTTACTTGTTTTCCCAGTATTTACATCCTAGTAAAAGTAAAAGGTTATTCATACCAAATTAAGTAAAATTTTTTCTTAGTAGTAAATGCTTTTACTACTTACATCACACTTGAAGTCTAGACTTACAAGTGTAGGTTTTTATTCACACTTCCCTACTGCAGAATGGGGATACGATATCGATGTCGATGTTTTCAAAACATCAATGTTTTTGTAAAATGATCGATATCTTTATCATGGATTTTATGAAGAAATGTTTTTTAACATTGATGTTTTGTGGTCGATGGCTTTATGTGGTCGATATTTTTTTAGATGTCCATTAATTGAATATACTTCAGTCGAAAGTGAATAGGGATGATAAATAAAATCAAGTTTTCGTCATAAAGAAGACTATAATTTTTGAATTATCGAATCAGATAATCCACATTTTCTTGTCCTGTTGATTTTTGACTGTGTTTTGGCAGTAAAATCTCAAAAAAATTAATAAACGATACCACTTTTAAATTACATCCCTTCTTCGTGAACTTCAATGATTACTAATCCTGTTTTAAAAAATCGATATTTAGTAACATCGATGGATTTGTTTCGATGTTTCATTAATATCGATGGTTTCCTTTTGAGCATCGAAACATCGATGTTTCCATGTCGATGTCGCATCCCTAGGAATAGATAGATAGATTTATTAAAGTTCGCTTTGAGCTAATGCTCGGTGGCAAACGTGATAACATTTAGAATTAAATTACTAAACATTTTCAACATTTACAATTGGATTTACTATTAGAATTAGGGGTCGATATCATAGTTTCAATTTTATTTCTAGTTAACTCTAGATTAACTTCTAGTTTACATAACACTTCACTACACTACAATACACTGCACTCCCCTTCATTACACTACACTCCCTTCCCCTCCACTACACTACACTTCACATCACTACACTGTATAAGGGACATGGCGATAATAATAATAATAATAATAATAATAATAATAATAATAATAATAATAATAATAATAATAAAGATAAATCTCTGTCAGTATTGTTCGAGATGATCTAGATGGAATGAAGCATATTTTTAAATTTGGCTACATTAGAAGGAAGAGCCTCTAGTGCTTCTGCAGGTAGTTTATTCCAATCTACTATAGTGCGATTCACAAAGGAGAACTTGCCTACATCAGTTCTTTGCTTTCTACATCGTATTTTCCAAGGATGGTCTCCTGTGCTTTTATAATCTGATTTCTGTAATCTTTTACCGATATCTGCCCATGCTGTGTCCTCTCTGTATGTCTTATACATTACGCATAAACGCGCCCGTTCGCTTCTCTTAGATAAGGACTCCCATTCTTCTCGTTCGTCACCAACGCACCCGTGATTTACAAACTTTGAGGCCCGTTTTTGAATTTTATCTACAACGATAAAAATACATGGGTAAGTTATTCCGGCGCACCGATTTTTGCTCGTTCTGTGCAACACCGGTTTGCGTCCCGAACCACGTGACCACAGCACGGGCACTTTGTTTGAAAAGCCAGACGAGACACTCGCCGCCATGTTGCATGGAGAGCTGAAAGTGTTGCGAAACATTTTGAAAGAGGTACAAAGTAACAATTTCCAACAGTAACTAACCAAAAATAACACGATGAATGTGTAAAAGATGCAATATTTGAAAGAAAAAATCTTAAATCTGTTTCAATGTCATGTTATTTCATCCATGATATCTGACGGCATTTAAAATTCCCGCCAATATTGCGACGCAAAATGGTGGGTGAAGCTCTTCGGCTGATCCGGGGCGCATGTTCCTAGCTCTGTGCGTGCGTAGGTATCAATCTGTCACGGACTACGCAGTGCTGTACCGCGCGGCGCACCGCCACTTCCCGAGCGACGGGCCGGCGCCAGCCATCATCTTCTCCCACTTCTTGGCGAGGCTCGTCCTGGAGGAGAGGACGATGACCAACGAGACGACAGGGGAGTCGTTCGCTCACATCGTGCCCCAGTGCTTGATCGCGCCCGGCTACCGCTCTTACTTCGCGCGCCACCGCTGGCGCCTGCGGCCGCTCTTCGACCGGCTGCTGCTCATTCTCATCCAGGCGGGAATCGCGGGCAAGCTCGACAGGTGCGCCCTCCCACTGCGTTCCTAAATGCGCTTCTCCACAACATTGCGAATTACACGGAAGTCTGAGAAGCACCGCGCGGGCGGGTTTATTACAAAACTTCCATAGCGCGTCAGAATGAAGCACAGTGCCTAATGGGTTTTTCCAGTACATAAACATACTCCCCGTTTTTAAGATTTCAAATCCTCGTTAACATCGTTTTTCACCACAACATTTACATTAATAACATAATACATACAATACATTACGTATTCATCACATATCGTGGTGAAATCTTTAGAATTTATTATTTTTTGTAAGAAGGGACACGTTCCGCTGTTGGATCAACTACAGCTGTGGTGCTACGAGTTTCGAGTGCCATATCATACTATGCTCAGAAAGTTCACGTTCCGATTGTTTACCTGTGTTTGTTCGCCTGTGTATAGTTGTGTTTTGTTTTTGAGATTTAAGGTTTGAATGGCGTCAAAGTTAAATGTGATTTCCATTTCTTTTCTTCATTTTTGTTTTTAGATTGTGGTAAATTTATCAATTTACAATTTTTTAAAATTTAATTTTCTTTTACTTTGCAACTTAATTTAGAATGTACAATCCACCAACCGTAAAGAGTGTTAAAGTGCTCTATAGTCGAAATAAACAAATGGTAATTAATGTTTATTATAATTTAACTATAATTAAGTTTTCCTAGGAGTTTCATACACAACGCCTGTAGGTAGAAATCTGTCCGCTCATCTGACGCGAGGCAGCACGGTTTTCAGTAAATAAAACAGTTTGTTCCCGTGGGGCCGACATCTTTTGTCATCAAAGCAACTTTAAATATTTTGTTCGGTAATCAAAACTTGTTCATCTACAGTTAAAAAGGAAGCACGAGGCTCGGCCTTTTTGCAACTGAATGTAGTTGGTTTGAATTTTGGTTATTGTATTGAAATAGTGGTGCACTTTCAAATTTCTTCCTGATTTCTTATGACATTTCGAAGCACAAAGGACGTGAGAGGCCTAACAGAAACGTTCCTGTGTATTTCAGTCTCCTAGGAATAGCTTCAGATTTGAGGAAAGGAAAGAAATGCGATTTCAGAAAATTGGAAAAGTTCGAGATAAAATACTCGAGCGCTAAAGTAGCGCTCCGCCTCATTGCGGGATTCATTCAGTGCGAATAACCATCGAGCGAATAACTTTCGATTCATACAGTGCAGCAGAAAAGCGCCTCGTTCGACATCACTGTCGCCGTAAGAGACCGTACTTCATTCTTAACCTCGGACGCGCCGTAGAGGTACTTGCTTCACTAGCAATCCTGTATGTGCTTTGCCTATCACTGCGCCATTACATCCGAAACATAGTTCTGATAATCACCACGCACGCGGGCATCTTTCAAAAGATACTCATATTCTCGATGTTGAGAGATCGCTATAAGAAGAGACCGCTTCGACAGCTACTGCTTGGTCCCTCCTGGCAACGTAATTGCGGGTCTCTGTACGCATTTTGCCAGTGTGCTCGTTTGCAATTAGCTCATTTGTAAGCGGCTTCATCACTATCTCTTGCAATGTCATCGCCCTGAATGATGTTCATGTGTTTCCCAAAATGTCAAAGTGGTCCCTTCTTAGAATAAATCTATACCGTTGGACTCCCACATTATCTCTAACACTCCCCCTTCACTATAACTTCAAAAGACTTCTGCTTGTTACAACGCACACGTGTATCTTACAATAGATATAAAACTACTTGCCTCCACTGGATTCCTATATCTTCGTCTCTCCTCGCTCCTCCATTCCAACTTTATCACAATTCTGCTAATTCCCACAAACTGTGAAAATTTAGATAATATATTGGTATTTACTTAAGCTGCGCGCCTAAATCTGCTTCCGGTCGCACTCCTCCATTACAACTTAAACGGAATTATTTTGATCACCATGCGCAATGAAACGATCTATTGGCACTTGCTTCCATTGCGCTCCTAAATATGATTCTCACATCGCTCCTCCATTGGAAATTCACAGAAATACGCTAATCACAACGCTAGCTGGCAACATGGAAACCATCAACAGATATTTGCTTCTACTGCGCTCCCGATTCTACCTGATCACTCGCTTTTCCAATTCAAAAACAACAGCAATCTGGTTATCATAACGTATTATAAATTCTTAGAAAAGATCTGGAGGTACGTCATTCTACTTCTCTCCTATATCTGCTTCCTCACTCTCTTCTCTAATGAAACTTCATCAGAATTATGCTATTAACCACTCGCGATGAAATTTTAGGAAACATCTACTGGTACTTGCTTCTACACGTCTTCTACATCTGCTTCTTATAAATCATAAAATATAATACACTTTACATTTTACTTTTAATTTTTATATATTTTCCTCGTTTTCTTGCATTCTTAAATGAAAGTAACTTACAATAACACACCTTTACTTCATACTTAATTTTCTGAATCTTTTGTAGCATTAAGAATTTTTGAAGTCCGTGAGACACCAGTGGGCATTTTATGTAACAATAAGTGTGTGATTGCAAGGTTAAACCAGTTTCGACTTTTCGTCGGTTCTCAAATACTATTTTGATCAAGTTCACGAATTGTTTTCAATTTTATATCATTTTATGTCAAAAACAATTAAAAATTGGACGAACTACAAGGAGAAGTGTATTCTGTGCACGTTTTCTTAATTCTGAGATTCCTACCCTAAACAGTACAAGATGAATACTGAACGCAGAAAATAATAAGTGTTTTTGGCAATAATTGTTAGCAATGTATCCTCTACGATGTAATAATCGTAGTTTACGTGGCACGGGTGCGAAACAGGTGATTCACACACAAGTCTAGTTGGCCGTTTGAGCGTCGCGAGGAAGAGAAAGCGAGTGCGGGCGAGGGACTCAATTACAATGAAGATTGTCGCGTGCCTATAAACCGTTCAATGATTCATTCTCGGCAATTTTTCTTAAAAATGAATGAAAAAAATACAGGTTTGGAGATTCATCTCATTAATGACAAAAAATTTGGTACTTTTTGTTAAATTATTTTTCTTAGTACATTACGCTGCTTATTGTAGCATTCACATAACCGCGATAAAATTATTGTGCAAGATGTAACCATATTTTATAACATGTTTTACTTCCCTCAGTTTTGTCGCAATTTAGCACTGTGTTTAGCGAAAACAAAATTTGCTGAGATCTCACTCCTCCCCCGCGTATATTAGGTGAGATTCGCCTTAACCACCTCTCCCTCACTAAAGGCCTCACGTAATTCGTGAGTGACCCCTTGACTGCGTGTCGCCCCTCAGGGACCACTGGTACGTGTGGCGGGCGCCGCTTAACATGCGCCGGGTGCCCGCGGTGGCCACGCGGTCCGCCATGTTCTCCGCCAAGGAGCCCCGCGCCCTGCAGATGTCGTCGCTGGTTGAGCCAGCGGCCGTGTTGGCGGTGGGGGCGCTGGCGGCGGCCACGACCTTCGGCGCGGAGGTGGCTCTGCGCATGCGCGCGCGCAGAGCCTCTTCGCAGGCGGCACCTCCCTGAAGCCCAATGTCTCCATGTAAAAGGAACCACACTCTAATATATTAAGAGCACAAGAAAAAGTACATTAATAACGAAGACGTAAGGTTGGGTTTCTGACTTAAACCCTAGTATTAGATTACATTTCGAGCTTTATATTTAAATTTCTCATTGTTTGTAAGTGTGGTTGTGGTGAAGTGTTTCCATCAATATTATAAAAACCTTTTGTTAAATGATCTTTGAAAAACTTTCACAATACATAAAAGATAAGTATAGTCTACCTATGTAAAATTCTTTGAATTTGTGGTTGTGGAAAATTTTAAAAACGTGTAAAACACCATTGTAAAAAAAATTAAACAACTTCAAAAAAACAAAAAAAATACCATCAATCAATCACACTCTAAAAAATGTGTACCTTTATTACCAATACCTTAAAAAGTACTAAAACCTAACCAGGAAAAAAAATTACTTATGTAAAATTTAAATATGCCCAATATATAAAAATAATCTCGCTTTTAAATTTCCCTCCTCTTTGGTAGCT